TTTTCTTGCTTTCTTTTTTCTTTTTTTCCTTTTTCTTTTCTTCTTCTTTCTTCTTGTCTTCCTTTTTTTTTCTTTTTCTTTTTCTCTTACTTCTCTCTTCTTCTTCTTCTTTTTCTTTTTTCTTTCTCTTTTTCTTCTTCTTCTTCTTTTCTTTCTTTCTCTCTTTTTGTCTTCTTCTCTTCTTTCCTTTGTTCCTTTTTTCTTCTTCTTTTTTTTCTGTTTTCATTTCTTCTTCTTTTTCTTTTTCCTTTCTTTTTTCTTCTTCTTCTTCTTCTACACATTTTGGCTTTGTTTTGTTCTCACCTCCCTTTACCAATTTTTCATAGTTTATTATTTACATATATTAGCTATATTTTCCCATATATTCGTGTAAAGAAGGGACGTGATATTAGTACTTGAAGATCTTCGCAATTTAAAGCAGTATTACTATTACCACCAGTTTTTTCATTTACCTTTGCATTTGTTTGATAATTTCCTCACTTCTAATAATATTTATCATGGATCTACTGCATTCATTAGATATATCCATTCGAAAAATACGCAACGTTTTCTGAGGTTTTATGCAATAAAGAAGTATATTGCCAGGTCGCTAAGGCTGCAGGGCCTCGGCTTGAGTCGCGGTTTCAAATCCCGCCCTGGGCGTGGGTGTTAGTGTTTGTTCATGGTGCGCTTACGTGTTCTTCTTACAGTTACCCCAATGTAAAGATCACAGTGGTCGCTTTATGAGCAAGTAGTTTAAGAGGGATCTTAAATAATTAAAATAGAAAAGAAGCATATGGTTATGATCCTTTTTCTTCTTATCAAGTTATGTTCTTTTGTGTCTTGCAGACATCTTCACATGAAGTTCAGTCTTTATGCTCTCATTCTGTTTTTAAATGTTAGCAAGAGAGATCAGTCTCAGGATCGGGATATTGCGGAATAAACAACTTAGACTATGTTGAATGAAGTAATCAGTCCTTGTGTGTTCATGCTCATATTGTTCTTTTTTATGATTTTTATGACTATCCCTTGCATATGTTCCTGAAAATAATACAGAGAAATATTCTTGTTAACTTTATCACATGTTTTGACATTTTTCACAGATAAATCTTCAATTTTGTAGATGATATTCAACACAAATCTTCTGTAATAAATTAATTTTAAAACTCCACTCCCAAGCTTCTTTATATTTTCTGAGCATGTATCCCATTCATATGTGACAAATAATCTTGATAATAGGTTGCAATATTCATCTCTTTTAATCAAGCCGATACCTGATTTCAAAATTCCATTTTTATATTCAATAAAGAATTGATTCAGATTGGCACATAGCTTTAGAAGAAATATTTGTTACGCTCTTAAAATAAATATATACCGGTGCGCGAACTCACACAAGTTAATCCCCCACCCCTTTCCCCATCCATTTCACTATCTTTCCATTAAAAAGAAAAGTTAATGAAACGTGTTTGTTAAAAAAATGTATAAATGTAACTTCGTACTTGCAGAATATTAAACAAAAATAAAAAGAATGCAGTTGATGTTGGAAACAAATTTTCAATTAAGATTTATTCAGTATTGTACAGTAGATACAGTTCAGTGTATACTTGAACTATTCACACTTCCTTAAAAACAATATTTGAAGTAATTATTCAATTTTCTTTGACAGTTCGCTGTCCGCTTTCCTTGATATAACATTTATTGATATTAGGAAAGGATTTTACTCTTGAGAAACACAAGTTTTCCATGCGAAAATAGAGTACAGGACACGTTCAAACCTACACTTTGCAATATTATTTAACTTTCTTGGATTTGTTATGAGGAACAGGGGTCTTTGAAAGGGCAAGATACCAGCTTGCTGGGGTACGAAAATTGAAAAATTATTTATATAGTAAACAGAATTAGGTTATTTTGTGTTTTCTTACGAACCTCAAGAAAAGCAATTTCGAGCCAAAAAATAATAAAACAAATATTTTCACCTTTGAGATTATTGAATATCTTAGCAAACCGACACCTTACGTTTAATATCAAACAGTGATATTTACAATATGAGTTTCCAGTTGGGCATTGATATACACACTTTCAAATACCGCAAAACATTTAAATCTTGCGTCTGAATTGTGATCGCTGGCAGTTGTCGAGTGTCTTGCGCTATTCTTTAAATAATTTTAAATTTGGTTGATTTTTTTAAATTCAGTCGCGTAGTATTGCAGGCTAACGCGGTTTGATTTTTGTTGTTCATTTATTCCAAGTTATTGTACGTACGTTAATTTTAAAAAATGTTCTTCTTGTTGTTACAGTTAGTTTTTCGCTTGTCGTAATAGTCACAAAAATAAGAGAAAATGCTTTTCACTCTTGAGAAAGTAACGTGACTGAACACGCTGACTTCAAAGTTTCACCGAATAATTGTTGAAAACGAAAATATTGCTACAGGTAAACCAAACCTAACCTAACAATACACGTCTTCACTCTTCACTGCACACTCAGATCCCCCAACAATTAGGTACACAGCACTTGCAGACCTCGGCAAAACGTTAAATGAATGTTTTCACTACACGTGTAAGAAAAAATTTTCATCGGAATCAAGCAACAATTAATAATACTTCTAGTTGTTTCTGCGAGAGTGAATCATGAATTAATAATTATGCAAATAAACTTCGCCAGTCTTCCCAAACCACGGTGTACTCAGGATATGTAAATAATATAAGATAGAGAAATCTAAGGCTTCTAATCGTGACGCCACAAAGATGGCCAGCATCATCAAGGGTTGAAGTATAGGTGGCGTAGGTAATATCAATAAATGTTAAAACAGCAAACATTTAATAGAATGTCTAAGAATATCTCGTCCTGTAGATTGCTGTGTGATAATAGTTCCTTTGAGGTCTTCGGCGTGAAAATTTCCGTTTTTTATGGCCCTAGAACGCTTTGTTTAGGAGTGATTAAACGACATAGTTGCTGAGTGCTGCTGGTTGAATTTGGATGCGTTTTATAAACAAATCCGTCATATTTTTAAAGTCAAAATAAAACTGGTAACGTCTCCGTGATATTCTGTTTCTTCCCTTATTCATATTCATTTATCAATATTCATTTATAAAGGTCGGTTGCGAATCATCAATATTCATTTATAAAGGTCGGTTGCGAGTGAGAACAGCTAAAGGTATGTATACTGAAATAATGTAGGAGACAATTTCAGATCATCATGAACGCATTCAGAATAATGTTCGTAGGCTTCCGCGGCCGAAATCATTGGTTGTCCGAGGAGAGCCGCGTCTCAGTCAATTGAGCTGACGTTTCGGCCATCGTTTTATAGGCTTTTCTTTAGATCTATGCTGATCTACAGCTATTCTGCTCTGAGGGCAGTATAGCAAGTAAAATTACTCTAATAACATCGAATATAATAGAAAATGCTCAGTGGAGATAACAGCTTCGCTCTTTTCTCAGCGTACACTTAAGATCAAACAAATATCATGTACTAGTTACATTACGGTTCAATAGTACGACCTGGAAATTAATTTCTTTCTGAATAATAGTACAAATCACCTCACAAGGTAATGCCGCGGTGCGACATGTCCAAACATACCCTCATAGTGTTTTCATTGAATTTACATGCCCTTCTGATACCACAATATAAATTTTGGCTGCCCATAGATACTACCAATTACTTTAAAAATTTCCAAATTTGCCACCATCTTCGGACTATTTTTCGTTTCTACGCAGAACTTGGACGGCCCTCGCAAGCCGAGCGGCGAGCGCGCGGGCGCCGAGGTTGGCGTTGTAGAGGGTTGTTTTCTCGAAGTCAAGTGACATTCGGTGGGAGCAGGCCGGTATAATCAATGCTTTTCGTATTGTAAAAGTTAATTTTATTTGAGATATTTTATTTCTTTGCCAATAAAAGTTTGTTACTCTTTTCATTATGAATATCGTCAATACGCGTAATAATTAAATATTGAAAACGAATAATATATAACTATTGTGATCACTTTGTATTTAAACTAAGTGAAGAAGAGATTTAATAGTTACATTTATGAATCAAACTCACATGTCATGGCCTCATTTTGGTAATTTGTTCGAGAAAATTGCCGTTCTTTAATTTGTGTCTTTTTGTGTCGATTAATTAATTTTCTCGTTTGAAAATTCCTAAAGACTTACAACTTCATCGCACTTTTCCAGATGGCACCGACCTTTCGCGTGTGATTACACAACTGACGTGTTTCGCAGTAGACGCAGACAAGAGTTCAGATTCGTGAGGAATAAGTTCCAGGGTAGGTAGCTAATGGATGGAAGATGAGCGGTTGCAGCAAGGTTTATCACAATAAAATGTATTTCTTACAAAAATGAAATTACAGATTAGATTAAAATTCGGAAAAACTTGTATTAGTATTTTAGACTATGTAGAGTTAATATTAATATTATTAGTTTTATTAATTTAGCCGCTAGGACGGGTTGCTGCCCTCGCAGGAAACGACTTTGGAAGCACAGTCTGCCGCTTGCGTCGAGCGGTGATTGTGGATCACTAACGTCCCCCCACTTTGCAGGGTTAGCCATTTTTACATTGGTGAAAGCGTAGGGCGAATTTGCAAATACAGGATGTTTTTTAATTGACTTGCAGTATGCATTGGCCCACAAAAGTTTGAGCGTGAGATTGATACGGCATGTGCTTTCGATGAAAAGAAGGATTAGGACAGATTTCGACATGTCATATCACAGCATTCCCTTATCCGTGCTTCAGTTTCAAGCTTGTTGTTACGTGATATTCCGCGAGTCAAAGCGTGTTGTATTCTAAGAAGGTGACAGGAAGCGCGCGACTGCCACATTGCCTCCCCTCCCCGATATCTGCAGCAAGTTTCAATAGCAGAAAATTTAACTCTTAATTTTTGAAGAGATTAAAACTTCACAAATTCATTAGAATTGTGTTCACTTTTACTTCGCCAATTGATCTATTTATCGTTTTGTAGGCAAATCTATATAAACATTAAAAGGCGACTGTTTTGTATGTTTATGTAAATAAAGAATTGCATATTGATAAGTTTTGTCAAAGAATTTTAAAAAATCAAACAAACAAACCTACAAATAACAGCTTATAAATTAAACTATTTTTTGGAAATGTAAGGAAATTACTATTTAGAACAGTATTCTTTCAAATATGTCAGTAATAAATTATACCCTTACTTTTTTACTTCTGTACTGTTTTTCTGAGATACAGGCATAGAATATGTTGCAGAAGAACTAGGAGCATCATTTGTTTCCATGACATCTTTCTTCTGACTGCCATTTACATTCACACCATTATTATCAATAATTGTGGGAATATGTAGTACTCCAGGATCTTCCTACAAACAGAATTAAAGAGAAACAATTAACGAGAAAGAAACAATTAAAAACTACCATTTTTTTCAAAATATACTGAAAGTCACATACTTATTCTCTAACAGTGCAATAAAAAATGGCAAAGAGAAATTAATACCTGGAATACAAAGGCATCATCATCATTTCTAATGATTTAAATGATGCTCTTGCATTCCTGCCACAATTCTTCAGGTGCATCCATACATTTTGTTTGTGATGGACCTCCCCATATGCCTCTGGCCTCATTCCTTGAAGCATCAAGGGTTTTTTGCCCCATATTTCAAGCGCTTTCAGAGGCCTAAACAAAAACAAACATTCACATAAAATACAATTTTATAAAAGCAAAACATGTCAAATTGCATATACTTATTAGCAATATCTAAATGAAAATTGTAGAATAAATTATTATGTTTGAATGAGCAAATTTCTTATTGCACTACTGTTTGAAGAACAGATAATTTTAACATATACTACCATCTATCTGTATCAGTATCTCTAGATTTTTCAAATCTTAGGGGGAAAAAAATTGTATTATCAATTGTATCATCAACTCAGAAGGAAACTTCATAGCCCTGAAGAGAAATTAGTTTGTGGTAGATGAGGTTTAGTATACATCTAAAATCGCACTAATTTTAACAATTATACAAACATTTGCAGTTTATCTTTTTAAAACTTTAATCAAAATAAACACATTCCACCTCACCAATCACACCACATAAAAAGATAAACATATCATTGTTACAAAATAACAACTGCTAGTAATGACATTGCTTTAACGAGAATGGAATATTCATTTTTAAATTGTTTACTCTCAGAATCAAGTTTTGAGCTAGACCTGATTTTTGAAAGAAGATATTTCTCTTTTTAAGAAAACTATAGCAACTACAAAATACTCTTAACTTATGCGAGCCCCATTTCGGTTGGTGCAGAAAAATCTCATATTCACGAACTAGAGATCATACAAAATAAACATTTCCTAAAAATGGAATTTGGTCATAAAAACTTACCCTGAAGTTGTCCACATTCACGTGCAGATCTGCCTGGATTTGAGGCGTTAAATTCTTCGCATATTTTAATCCAAAGCTTGCTTCTTCTCGCAAATTACATCACTTGTAAACGCTTTTTTCGCCAAAACTGGGTATTTCTTTTAAATTACTTGTTTTTGAAAGTGAGCCAGTGTAATACACCGAAACTTTGGCATAGCTTTGTAATTAGTTTATAAAAGTGTATTTCCTTCATTACATTATCATGCAAAGTAAGAATGAAAATACAATACGTTCCTTCGATATCAGCTTTACATCAACTACCGTTCAATAAAAGTTGCGCGAGTAATACCTGTGATTTGCGAGCAGCTTGCGAGGAGGAATGTGGTACAAGAAGATTGCCGAGGAAAGCAAGTGATAACGTCTTCTGAAAAGGTAATTACAGGAAATGGATTTACAATTTACTGGATCAAAATATTTAATCTAAATAAAGTACAAGATTTTTTATTATGTGACAAAATAATCATGAAATTCCAAGAGAAAAGTACGTGATTTCAAATGAAAGATTACAGTGCACCTTACAAAACATGCACTTGTAACTTTGGGGGAATTCGCAACTAGCAAGTAACGCTTTTTCCCCCACAGCTTTTATTTTGTTTGTTTTTCCTTCTACTCAATTTTTAGTCTACGTAACGCGGATGCAAGACGAATTATTTTCGTTCTTGAAAACGAAGAAAACGAGGCCAATGAACTTCAAGGCAAGACGAGCGCAAGATAGAATTCTTCCACGGCGCGGCGTAACGACGACACGAGCAGAAGACTTTGACGACCTGAACTTGACAGCGGGGAATGTCTGTATTCTAGAATACTGCGTGATTTGAAACGACCAGTGGTATCGTGAGTTGTAACGTTCTACTGAGAACTACATTGGCGTAATTTAGCTTGAAACTACATTTGCAAGCAAAGTTAATAGAATTATAGTTACTTCAGGTGGCGTACATTATTGAAATCAATACAATAGAAAGTGTAATTCAGTCAACGACAGTCGTAACTGAAAACAGATGATTTTATATTTTAAAGTCATTGTTAATTTACTTTGTAGAATTCTTTGGAATTAACAAATCATATCGAAGCTAAAGAAACTGTTAATTCTACGCTACATTTTATAGTTCTGGCTGCTCATTCCTGAGTTGCCTTTCGTCGTATGATAACAGTTCGGATAGCGTTTCATCGTTTTCTTTTATTTAATAAGCATCCAATTTTTTTAGGGATCAGACGATATTAAATAATATATAACATACCTCACCGGGCATTCTGAGGGGTAATTTATAAAATGCTGCTGCGAAATTCATCGCAAACGGAAGTACTGACTCTCTCGTCTAGTAATTACTCCACCACCAGCTAGATTATTTATATCACATTGTTGTTACATGGACCACCGAAATAATTCAAATTTGGCACCACTTCGAACAACTCAGTTTCGCTGCTCTTTGAAGGCATTTTAGAAGCAAAGATTGTACATTTCACACTTCTCGCCTTCGGCCAAACACCGCGCAAATTCCTTCCCAATTGACCAAATACTCAGTTTTTGTACAAAGTACTTTGAAATCGATTGTCAACTGCTTCTACTGGTTCGGAAAGTTACCAGTAGATCGCACCACCTCCTGAGCGGCCGCGACGAAAGATTTACTCATTCCGGGAAATTTTCCCAGAATCCAATTTTTTCCACATTAAACGCGACGAGCTCACATTGTTTGAAAATCAGAGGAGCCGCGAGCAGTTTTGTAGCGATTGTGCAGAGAAGCTAAGTGAAACGTGTATTGGGCCAATGGAAAGTTTGATTCGGTAGGTTGGCAAGCAATTTCCTGCACATTTCTGAAGTTTCGGTGACCTCTGACTCCAAAACAGGGCAGGAAAGATGCATGCATGAGCACCAAGCGTGAAATTTGTAAGAAAAAAGTTTATTTTCGTCCAGACAGAGGTAACCATGACAATATCTTCAATACTCATTGATTCTTTCGGCAATGTAATCATCTTTGTCAATTATGTGTCGCTTTTTGTCAGACCACTCTCGTCTGACGAGAACATATAAATATTAACGACTTTTGAGACACGGCAAAAAAAATTGTTGAAAATGCCTTGGTCCGAGAGGTTGATGGCGATGGACATCCTTGCTAGATGAAATACTATATAATGTGAAGAAAGGCGATGGAACTGTTAATGTTCTGCAATTACAATTATTCTTAATATGACGAGGCTTTGAATTTGCTATCTCTACACTGAAGTAAATAAGGTGGTTCTGATGATGAAAATTTCTGAGATCCCTTGCCTTCATGTGGGAGGCCTTATTTTTTGTGAGTATTCAATTTTCAAAGCTGTAAAATGAATTGAATTGAAATGAAATGAATTTCTAAATACAATTTGCCCACTCAGCATCTTTACTTGTAGAAGTTAAATCAAAGATTTAATTGTAATGCTTGCTGAAAAATAAGCCAATATTTCAATTTTCAGTCTCAAGGAATTGCATTGATATGCATGTGGACGCTGCAGCATCAGAATTAAATTAATTTATAACTAGTTGTGCGAAAATCAACATTTTTAGCATTGTAGCTCATATAATCAATCCAGATGCACCATGTCACGAAAACAGTCGCACTGTGCTAAATTCTCACTCAACTTTACCATAATAATTTAATCGCAAAGCTTCAGCGCGACATCGTGATTTTACTTCAAATGCTTCGCATTTACTTCATAGAAGAGAGCATGTAGAAACAACTGTGGAGGTTCCCGTGTGACAATCGGGGGAAAATGTCAACGGCGCTTCCTGAGCTGGAGGAATAGTTTCTCGTGAAGCGTATCAAGGGCATGGGACACCCCTGAGATATCGCCCACTAAACGTATCATTTTCACAAACCTTTGTGCTCTCTGCGATACTCACGCTGAAAGCCAACACACCAGAACCAGGGATTGCGTGGTCAATTTGCCCATTTATTTGCAATAACGTCGGTATTTACGGACATACTTTTTCCAACGAATTCAGTAACGGCATTTGAGAGGAGGCTATAGAAAAAAATGTCTGACAAAGCTGAAATGTTTGTCTGGGAGATTCTTTACCAAAAACATAAAGGAAAAATTAAGTAACAAAATTGCAGAAAAAGTGGAGAAATTCATTAATATGTAAAAATGTTCTTTTGAGTAAAATATGTAAATATATGTATTTTCGGGCAAAGTTTGTGAAAATATGTACTAAAAGGCAACGTTTCTTGGCACTAACCCATATGAAACGTAACGAATTAGCCAGCGTGCCTCGTGGCACCTATTTGGGGACGTGTGGTAAGGGTTTAGTAACAGGAAACCGCCTTGCCACAGGAGGGAGAGAAGGGTTTTTCCTTAAAGTAAGCACACGGAAAAGGGAGGCACGAAGCTTTGGGGTCCTCCGATCTTAAGGAACGGAGACCGAACCCTCATGGCCAGCAATTGGGCCCAGTGGGGGCGGCGTGACGTAGTAGGTCACTTGCGACTCGAGTATATAAGGGAGTGCACAGAGCCAGTGGGGGGGGGGGTATGGAGAGAGTGGGAGAACCTCGTGCAAATACACAAATTTGCCGCCACGACGGTGCCGCGGCTAGCAGGGCTCGCGAGTCAAGTCACGTGCTGATGAGCCTGTGGAGGACTTTGTGCCCTTGGGTGAGTGGTCAAGTGGGAGCTGTGCTGTGTGCTCCGAGGTGAGGAGTGATTGAGTGTCACGACTCGCGGCCGATTCTCAATCGGATAAGATCGCTCCTGCGGTGAGGCAAACCGGTACGGACGATTAGTACGCCTGTACGGACTTTGTATCCCACTGTGACAATCGGTCACGGAAGCTTGGCTTTGTGCGCGCTTCAGATGTAGGAGTGACGAGTTCCACAATCGAAATCGATCATCAATAGGGTTGGGATCCCTCCTCGATCAGGGGATAGCAGGTCTATCAGGGCTAGAGTTGAAAGTGTAAATTCATTGTAAAAAATTGTCGGTTTTCTTTGTAAATAAATATTTGTTATATGACAGCTCTGTGTCTGTGTTCGCTATGAATAACAATGACATCACAACGTGAAGATATCGCAGATTCGACTTGACAGAGTTGCTTTAGAGAAATACATTATTACAAAATTATCCGGGCTCTATTAATTGAGACATCGATGTTGTGAAAGAAGAAAGTCAAAAATGGATATTTGGGCAAAGTGGATTTTAGTGTTCGTTTTCAGAAGTACGGAGCACATTCGAAAGAACACAACAAATTATCGAAATTGTTGCTAGTAGTAGTAGTAGCTTTATT